GCATACTCTTGAAAAGATCAGACACGCCCTATTTTGTATAGATATACCCAAAATATCTCCACAAAATCCAGGAACAGCCGCTGACGCTATGACCAAAAGGCCCAATTTTTTTCTCTTCTTTCGCAGATTCCACTCTGATGTCACATTTTCTCCTGGGGAAATTGAGCATTGGCCCACTGATGTGCCTAAGTCATCACAAGGTAAATAGTCCAGATAAAATCAACACTAGCTCGTCTCAGCCTGCGTGACTGCAGAAAATCTACTCCGTACTACCAAACTTGTGGCGTAGAAACTAATGCAGACCCTCTAGCATTGCGTTGCACCATGCTCCGTGCTCCACCGGGAGGCGACTCGGTATAATGGAAATATTTGAAGGTTATATCATTTATGGTCTGAAGGGGAAGGTCATTGGGGAAATGGAACGCCTGTCCATATACTCCGTATACTATGTGCCCATATGGTTTCCCCCTTCCCCCGTAATACGGGCGATGTAAATTGAAACACCACGTCTTTAATTCCCCCATCTCGTATTCTAGTCTTGACTGCCCTCTGACTCAAAATTGCGCATCTGGCTCTGTTTTATGGAACGTGATTCAGGCTATCGGTTACTATGTGCCAATACTCTGTATGCAGTCTCCATCTCGCACTCTCCCCAAATATCAACTTGCTCCGCATTAACCCTGGTCCTAACTGCTTATTGCTTACCGCTCACCGCTTGCTCCACTTGGTCTCCTATCCGTTATATTGCATCTCGATCGGCATTCAACGCCGATCGATCTTCAGGGGTTCCATAGGATCTTCTTTGGGTCAACGGTATACCCCTACGGCGTACTCCGTACTAGGATGTTACTACCAGCCGTGATTGTTTCCGGTAGATGGTGGTCAGATAGTACCCCGTGTGTTCGCGGAGGTGAGGTATGCACCATGTGCCTCCGCGAGGTTTTTTTTTTTATCGTTCTCAATTTTATAGTCCTCAGCTAGCATACATAATATATATATGGCATATTGGATGTTTGGTAGGTTTAGTATAACGTTGTAATTGCCTGTTCAATTAATTTAACAATCTCTTTTAACAATCTCTATCAAGGTTGCGGCGCGGATTGTAAATATATATTCTGAATAATTCCGTAGAAAAGGGAACTATAATGATTTGATTCATATACTGCACCACATGTTTGACACCCATGTAACGAAATACCATGTATCTCCATATGTTTGGAAATATGCAAGGGGCAGATTCACCGGTTCCATGGTACAACATAATGTTTATCGGTGAGCTATGGCCAGGGCTTTTGGCCTTGCTTGCCATGGTAGACAGGGCGGGTCCTACCCACCTGTTTCCCGTATCAATGTAGCCGTGCTTTTGCAGAAATCTGTGCTTATATTGGAAATGCTCGGTTGGGTGATGAAGCCGCCACCCGGATATCCGAACCCCAAAATGTCCGTGTCTCTGCTAGAACAGCCGGTCAAGATCAAGCCGGCTATGGGTACCCGAGAAGATCTTAGATCGCTCCTCGGAACTATGTCTTCAACAGCTACAATTTTGCAGCATAAAAGATAACCCAAAACTTCCATATCACATTATTCAACTCATTAGAGTAAACAGAAGGTGTATCTATCATCTATAAACAACGAAACGAAACTCCATGGCAAAGTGGCATTCCTTTACCCATGCGCCTGAGTGTGGGTTTCTTGATCCAGCAGACCGCCGGGGCCCGGAGACCATATAAAGGAGCCCGTACACCAGTCTGTACATGTACCAGGCAAAACCAAAAATATTTACCTCAAGCGCCATGACAGTTCCAAGATTTGATCACCGTTCTTCTCATCGCGCATGACATACCACTGAGTGATACGGTCGTTCGGCTCGTGGACGGCATCCACCAATTGGAAGCTCTTCTTGTCCTCATCCTTGCGGCGGAGGGGACCCAATTCGTGCAGGTAAGATTCGTCATTGGCGCCATTGTGCGAGTCCCAGGTCTGCTCCATGGATAAGTCGTCCTTGTCTGGGTCGACGTGATACTTGATGACGGAGAACCCGTTCGTCAAGATCCAGCCGTCGCCAAAGTGGAATTTGCGGAGGAGACAGCTGTCGCCGCATAGCTCAGCGACCACCGCAAGCTTCGGCATGTCGGCGAGGAACCAGGATCTCCAGTGGTGCACTGTGAGCGAGGGCTCGCGGCCGGACTCGAAGAATCCAGAGGCATCGTGCATCAGGTCCAACTGCCGCAGACGGTGGTCCACCGTTAGCCGGGTCTTGGTGTAGCGGTAGACGCAGATGGCGATGCGGCGATCGCCTGTGAAATCCATCGTAGAGCACTTGTCATATACGTCGGTCAGTTCCGTCAAGAGGGGTTTCGATAAGAAGACGCCCGCGCCTCCGAATCCAATCATCCCAAATGCCGCAATCTGCGGGACAGACTCCGACAATCCGCCAATATACATGGAGGTGGTGTGGTCGTATTCAGCGAGCGCATCCACCAGTCTAGGCATCGACAGGAAGAAGGTGTCGTCGTCGATGATACAGCCCCACTGGGTTGATTCTCGAGCGTTTTCTTTTAAAAGAGGGATAAGCGCGAAATATCGGTTCAGGTAGTTATCGTCCGACTCTGTGATGTGGAGGTTGATCCCCAGACTGTCGGCCTTGGCCTTGACATCCCGGATTCCGTTTTCCGATTCATCCGGTTCGATCAGTGCGAAAATGCGAGTGCGTGAGTATCCAGCCCAGTGAGCGAATGCATTCAGAGACTCATTCAATCTCTCGACACTGGTTGCGACTCCAAAATCAATGTGTGATGCGTCTGCCAATTTCGGCGGCTGGGGGACCCGCAAGGACACTGGGGCGGGAATTGAGCACCCGTCCGCCGCTCCTTCAGTGCCCTTTGGCACTTGCAAGAATGGCTCGTCAAGCCACTGCGTGTAGGGCACTGGGTCGTCCGTCATATCGAGTACGATTTCTCGACGGGTATATTGCGCGACTCTGAGGACTTTCAGGGCTGCCAATTTATCGTGGTCGAGTTCGCAAGGGACATCGGGGCCGACAGTGATGGTCATGTTGACAGCTGTTTCCAGCGGCAGTTTCACTGGGTCGACTGAGGGCCATAGTACAACAACAAATCCCATGACAAACAAGAAGGCGACTCCAAACCGCAGCACCTTTTTCCAGGCCCATGACACGCCTGGAACCGACCCATCCCGCGCGTTGAATATCATATTTTGTGTGAGATTGTGTCGGTTTCTACCGCATTGCGGAGCCAAGAAGGTCTAGAACACAATCAAGGGCCCACGGTCGCAGGATGAAAGTGTAGTATAAAGATGCCCAGGTGGTTTGGAGGGGGATTGAGAGGGGGAGGAGGAGGAGGAAGAAGAAGAAGAAGGAAATGAAAAAGAGGTGGAAGATAGGGTCAAGGGACGATCATGGTTCCATGGGATGAAAATGGGCAAGGCCCATTCTCTAAGGGGTCTGAGAGACGATCAATGACGTTCCAAGTCCCGTTTGGCGGAGGTCACGTGCCCTCGTATACAGTGTAAGTTTCGGTTTGGTCCCACTGTACCTACATATAATGTAGGTACTAAGGTATAATTTGCCATTTGGCAATTATATCCAGGCACAAGATACAGGGACATGGTTCCAATGGCAGCTCCTGCCCTCTAAAATGATGATTTCATTACTCCCAAAGCAGGGTCCAAAGTACTCCGTCTTCCCGTACGGATTACAACCCTGCCCGTGCCAAGACCTCCTAAGCAATGGCTCCGTCTTTTCACTCGTCACTGATTGCTCCGGCCCCCACATCCGCGCGTCCTCTAATTGCCCGTCTGCTACTCCGACTTGAGCAGCCAAGACATTACTCCGTACTCGCTCTAGATAACTGCAACGGAGTACAACGGAGTAATATCCGGAGGCCATTATCCCACCCGATAATAACTGGCTAATGTGGGTAGTAGAGTCCAGCTTGATTCACTCATTCCCACTACGCTATCGCTCAGCCCCACTGTCTTGAATCTTGATTACAGATCTTTGGGGGATATCCAAGCCTTAGACCTTTACTCGTGAGAATGTATTGAGGTAAATTTGGCATTGTGTACATCATGCGAGGTCGAGCCGGCCCAGCCCCTCAACGCCAATGCCGGGGCTTACTCCGTCGTCCGAACTGGAATCCCACTCGCATAAGACAGCCTAGATCTGCCGTGCGCATTATTTGTGTGGATATTCCTTGTTCCACTCCGGATTTCATCGTCCTCCACACTATGTCCTCAAGATGCCATGGCCGATGGTGAGTGTAGAGAGATTCCACTTTAATCAACTCGAGGCTTGCTTCCGAGTCGGTCAGACATTCCCCTTCCAACGTCGCTATTTCCAGGTCTTCTGTTTCCGTTAAGTGGAATTTTGTCTGTAAGTAACGTGAACGTCAAGCTGAATGTGCAGCAAAAGGGTACCACCAAGTCAACAAATGCATGTATCGATGAGGAATGTTAAACAGGGACTGCAATGACTGATCCCTTCCTCTCTGTGGTTTTAACGCCACAGGCGGGTAATGCAGCGAGGGAATCCGGCACGCCTACATGTTGATGCAATTATAGATTCCCCCATATAACGCTATGAAGGACAATAGTTGCACTATAATCTGCACACGAGCGCTACACTGAGCACGTGTGCTCCTTATTGCTTGAATGTCGCTCCTTGCTAACACAGAAGCTACAGCGGCAGCTCACATCACTAAAGACAGTACCCATATAATTCCCGTGAACTCGCAAATCAATCCTCCATATCACCCTAAGTAGCGTCCGTCAGAGCGCACCGTGGGCTCTGTATCGAATGATGATCAATCATTTTCAGTTACGCGCCCATTGAAGCATGCATGCCAATGCGCTTGGGTTGGGGGCCAAACAACGATCGTACTTGGTCTTCTGTATATTGTAGAGCATCCTGCCACTCCGCTATAATTTGTTAATAATATTTTCTCCATTCTTCTGACTATACTGTAGATCCGCTCTTCAGGATGGCCCCCTATGCTACAGAATATCTCTTCTGTTGGCTGCTCGCCACCGCAACCGTAGTGCATGCAGATGGTATCCCTTGGACAATGCCGTGGTCTGATCAAAGCTACGGGCCAGATGGCCCGTGGCACGCCGTGTCAGTTAATTTGGGGTCCAACAAGCAGCCCATTGATCTCTACCCCAGCGACCGATGGGCTAGTGTCATTCTTATTGACACTGTCTGCTCGGACGACTCAACTCCGTGTTATGCAAGACGAGCTGGTCTCTTGGACATTGATGCATCAACATCTGCCGTCATCTTAAACACACCGACCGACCCGAGTGAGATACAATGGCTGTCCGATCAGAGCAGTGCTGGCGTGAACAATTGGGGTGGTACAGGATATGTCAAAGAAGGGATTCTCGCCGATACGATCACGCTGCAAAATGGACATAAGGTGCCAAACGTCTCTATAGCAGCGATCTACGACGCCTACCAAGAATACCCAAATGGAAAACGATACCCTGTTTCGGTGGGGACCTTGTCGCTTGGGGCTACGAAGCCTACCCACGTGGTGGATGGGAACATATTCAATTTGCTATCTGCTTGGGAGCATTGGAACGATTCTTCGTCTGATCGTATTCCATCATACTCATGGGGGATGCACATTGGATCTGTGGAACCTGACATTCCAGGCTCGCTGATCCTTGGCGGGGTATGATCAAAGCCGAGTGCTGGAGCAGGTAAGCTCTCAACAGGTTGATGATACGAGACATCTCGGCAACCTCAGGATTTCTCTCGAAGACATCGGCATAGGAGTTGCCACTGGGGACTCACCATTTGACTTTGAAAATAAATCCGGGCTGTTCAAATGGGGAAACAGCGTCAGCAGCAGGGCGAAAAGAGTGGAGATCGATCCTACACTTCCATACCTCTACCTTCCTAAAGAAACATGCGATACACTGGCAGCCGAGCTCCCGGTTACATTTAACGAAGATCTGGGTCTATATTTCTGGAACACAGACGAAAGCTACGAGAAAATGACATCCTCCCTGGCATATATATCCTTCACATTCGAGAAGGATGCGACAAACACTCAAAATATCACTATAAAAGTTCCTTTCCAACTTCTGAAGCTCACACTTCAAGAGCCACTAGTGGAACACAACACAACTTACTTCCCATGCTATCCCTCTGACTCCTTCGTGCTCGGCAGAGCTTTCCTCCAGGCTGCCTTCATTGGCACAAACTGGCAAGAAGGCATTGGAAGTGGCTACTGGTTTTTGGCACAAGCACCTGGGCCGGCGATCGGATCAGGTGTTCAGCAGAGCATTGGGATGGATGACGAAACAATCAAACCTTCAGCCAATTCATGGGAAGACAGCTGGAACGGATATTGGGAACCCCTTCCATCGAAGACTTCCAACTCCAACTCCAACCCCAGTCTCTCAACTGAGGCAAAGACTGAAACCAGCTCTTCCAACTCGGGCCTTTCAACTGGAGCAAAGATTGGCATTGGCATTGGATGTGCTGCCGATGGCTTGGTATTGTTTGGGATCCTTGCTTGTCTAATCATCTCTCGTCGAAGGCGAACAACAAATTCGTATCCAGAGACCAAAGATGAATATAGCATGGCACCGAGTCCTGCCGAAAAGGCGAACGCACTTCCAGTGACCGAATTATATACTCGTTCAGACAAGGGAATTCAGGAGGTACCAGGATCTACTACGATACGCCACGAACTTTCGTGATGCTTTGGGCTACAAGCTTGAACTATAATGATGTACATGAATGTAATTAAATTTAATGAATTAGAGAGCGCAGTTACAATACATATTTCGTTGCCTCCATAAGGCCCCGCTTTAAGAGCCGTAAAGAGCCCCATCAACTCCCCGCTTGGACCATAGCCGACCCAGAATGTTATTTTCGTTCTATAGCAATTATCGCTCCGCCCAATTATATAGATACATATGGCACTTTGGCTCAGTATAATTTTAGTTGTGCTTTTTCAACAAAAGGAACATAGATGGAAAGCAGAGTGGTCCGTATAAGTCCTCTCGCTAGGAAAAAGATGGTTGTCAGTTCAACTGATCTCAATATCTCACGTTCAAGGGAGATTGTGAATCTTACCAAGTCGCCGCTTTCGAACCAATTTCGACCCTGGTGATCTTGGTGCTAAATATGGGCCAAGAGGTTAGAACAGCAATGAGGCTTGATCAGTGGTCTAGACTCACATGGCTGCCATCCGTATACTGCTCAGGGTCGATCGGGTAGCCCAGCCATCTCCGATAGAAATCCCCCGCAGTTTGTGATTTAAGCATGTACGATAACCGATACAGTATGTGATCCAATCGGTGATCCAAGTTCCAGATGCTATCAGTTCCACCATTGATATTTTCCGGTTCACCTGTGTTCAAAATTCGTCCAAGCTCCTTCGACGTCCATTTCCCGTCGACATAAAGAGGATGGGGCACGTGGACGGCTTTGAGCCCATGCCAGAGAGCAAGCGAGGGAGCTGTCATCTCAGAAACAATGCCCATTCCTCGTTGGATTTGCACAACGTGCATCTCGTATAGTAAGCTCTTTGATATGCGTCCCATGGCCATATGGGATGCTCGCCGTGGAACATCTTCTGGGAGTCCCCATACCATATCTCTGAATAGCCACTTCGTATCAGTAGGATCAAAGATCGGCAAAAAGGTAATGAGATCTGCCTCTTCGCCAACACCCCATTCATACTTATCATCTTCCGGGAAAACAACAGGAGGCTTAGGGCCTATTGGGGTTATCTGAGGGATGCTTTTGGGTCCCCAAACACTATTCCGGTCCTTCATAGCGGACCCAACCTTATTGAGGAACTTCTTCCAAATTCCATGTGTCCCTGGGATATAGAAGTATGCGTTGCGCTCCCAAAGGTACTTCCGCGGCTGGCTTTTTGCAAACTCCACGGACTTTTCGAGAAAATGGTAGGAATGACCGGTGAATCTGGAATCCATTTCCAATTGCCAATAATAGTCAAAATTCTGGAAAATTTGAGAGAATATCTGAACCGGTTGCCAGTACTGATAATACGTCCTGCGGAATTGTTAGGAGACCTGCCAAAATTCAACGACCGTGGAAGTGGAAAGTTACTATACCGATGTTCGTCAATCTTAGGATACCATGACTCCAACGTCTTGTCATTGAAAAGGATGGTCATGTCCATGAACTCGCGTGGGACAAACCCAGCCTTCATATTCTCCATAGCCTGGGCATCGCGTGTGTATATTGGGATGGTCTCGTCTTTGACATGACACAAGATAAAGACCTCATATTCGGCACCGGAGTGTAGCGACAGCTCCATGACAAGAGACCGGACATTTTGCTTAAGGTCTTCGGTCCATTTCATACCATGCGACGCACGTAGTATAACGGCTGATCTTGTTTTGTACTGCGGCAAGCTACGCACCGGAGAGGCTGGTCGATCGCGAGGGAGTGTGCGTGCAAAAAAACGAGAGCGGACTGGCAAGGTGAGCTCGATTGAGTGTGAATCGGTCTCGCTTGGCGAATATCTTTCGAAGTTCCTCTCAAAGCATTGTGATTGAAGCGATCCCCAATTGGTCTCGTTGAAATTGACTCCAGAGCCAGAGGCAGCATGGCTGGAATTACTCCCGTACCCGTACGTACTCAACCGAGAAGAGCGATCGGTACAGACATATCCGTCGACACCCGTTGCCAGATATGACCCCAACAAGGCTGGAGGGAAATCTATTGACTTGTTAAAGATGCCTTGTGTTTTCCAGTGAGCTAAATATTACCTTTTTGGATACCTGGATAAACAGAAATCATGTCTTGCGCACTAGTGCGGCTGAGAGTCTTTCCTCGTGGGCCGTCACACGCGCGAAAGCTCCCTACAAACTCTTTGCGCCATTGGCGACTATTGTATTTTGGATATGGATCATAGATGATTGGGATCTGGGGGTAGTTGTCATCATTTCCATGTGTCACTGTCAAGGTTCCGCCACGATAGAATTGGTCCTCCCTATCCATTGTGGATTAGTAAAGAATGCAAAAAAGACATTGAGAAACGACTAGTGATCATGTGGGCGAAAGTATGAACTAGAATCAGTGGGCAACGTACCGAACATCACGTAATGTTCCAAGCCCCGTTGGCTCATGGGCAAATGGCGCTTGATCATTTCGTGGCCTCACTTCCCGCGAGATCTTACTGACTATATCTCCTGGGCGGATAATAGTAGACCTAGAGGGCGCTGTATTAGGCCTTGAACTGGAGGAGATTTACAGCAGATATTCTTGCCTATTTAGAACTCTGCTGATTATGAACAATGATATTATAGCGGACAGTGCTAAATAACATATTCGAGTGTAACGGCGAAACTCCTTTCGCGGATGTAGTGCTCGAGATCTGCCTGTCAAAAGCATTGAAAGAAATTGGCAAAGAGAAAAGTAAAATGAGCAAATGAGCGAATAAGGGACTTTGCTGCACATGTATATTTCGAGCTAAGGGGGAAATTGGGACGCGCTATAGTCCTAATTATTAGCTTGGACTTTGCCGGGAGAGGCTTTTATACTCCTACAATAGAAAACGCCCAGATGTTAGAGAGCAAGTGGGCCGTGCACGGTCCAACTACCGAAATAGGAAGTACCTACAACATCAATACCCCATGCAAATATTCGCCCGTGAGGAAAACAAGCCCGAAAAAAAAGAGTGGGCGCGATAGATTGCTACCAAAAGTTTAGCTTTTGTAGATCTGGAGCCGCAAGCCCTGTAGGTCTATTAATATCCAATGGACATCTTTACTCACATATGTAGGTAGGTATGTACCTTTCATGGCAATTGCCTAGTTGGGAAAATCCTCTCTAGTACGTTTCAGGCCCTTCTAACGGGCTGCATGGAATTAAAACTCATCAACTCAAGCTGTTGTACTGTTGCCCTCCGTTTCTCACTAGAAACCCTAATGATTATATGAATCTACATCCATCTCCAGGGCTCCATGGCTAGATTTGGAACTACATATGTAATACAAGCTAAACGCTGTGCAGTATGCAGATTACTAGGAACGGGGGATTCTGGAGGTTTCGCCGCACCTAAGGTAGGCCCGAGCCATTCGCTTTCGGCACTTTTAACCTGGGTAGATGTGCTGATCGTCCAGAAGACAGGATCGAGTTCAAAGTGTGATAACCACAGATCAAGTAGAAGCTGTATCAATAACAAGCCCGCCATCCCATATTAGGGGCTTCGTTCATAATTTAGCAACAATGAAGCCTCAACAGGCGTATGCACTACATGTTTTCGATGGGGTTGGTAGAACTACCTAGGTACTCGCAAGCAACATCATATGGGGTGGACTAATGAGAGGGTTGGTGGGAACAACATTGAACATGACGGTGGGATGGATGGATGGGCATAGCGGGAAAAACTTCCTTGTCCTCCCAAACTTGACTACAGTGAAGTGCGTCTTGCTATTTATCGTTCAACACGGTAGGTACATACGAGCATATTGATATTGAGAGAAAAAGCGCTGGCAATGCCTGACATTGGTCTTTTGAATTCGCTTTGTAGGCAGTCCGGGAGTACCCCCTCAAGGTGTTTTCCCTCGTAGATTCGAAGTACTCGAAAATCCACTCAAATTTTGTAAATATCGAGCTTACAGTACAAGTGTTGGCTTAAATGCAGTCTCCCCTCAGTGCACACTCTATAAACTGCAGCATTTCAAGATTTGTGACCGTTATCCGTTATCCGTGAACTTGTCGATGCCAAACCAGATAGAACAGGGCACGTGAGCTACGGCGGGGCACATGGCGTTGAGCGCAGAAACCCCCCGATGGGGAAAAGACCAGTTCCGCACATTGTTTGATATCAGTTGATCTGGGGAAATCGGCCACTGTGTTCTTTCTGTAAATCCTACGATTTTATTTCTTATCTGATATTGAAGTTAACGTCTTCTTCACCCCCTAATACCCTCCCGAATTCTTTAGCGACCAACCCCCGCCATGGTTGCGCAATCGCTGGCCTCGCTATTGCAGCGGGCGTCGATTGATGACCACGAGGAAGTCCTCCAGTCATGCAATGCAGTCCTCACCAAATCCAAATCTGATCTGCAAGCGCAACACATGAAAGTTGTTGCTCTATTGAAACTCGACCGTTACGAAGAAGCTCTCAAGACATTCCAGGCCGGAGGTGATGCGCTAAAGCAGAGTGCAGGCCTGGAATACGCCTATGCATCATACAAGTGCGGGAAGCTTGAAGAAGCTGCAGATGCCTTGACTCGCACAGCTTCTGGCCGTGGTGCTAGTCACCTCGAGGCACAAGTGGTATGGTTCCCCATCTGTTCCTTTGCTGATTGAGGACCAATATTGATTGACTTGTGATAACAGCGCTATCGTGCTGAGCACTTCCGACGAGCAGCCGAGCTTTACGAACAACTGTCGAAAGATACGATGTCTTTCGGCCACGAGGTCAACGACCTGAACATCAATTCGTGGGCTACTGATGCGCAGCTTCAATGGAAAGGAGAGACGGAATTCGTGCGCCACGACCGATTGTCGAGGGAGGATTTGGAATCTTTCGAAACAACATACAATGCAGCTTGCTTGAACATTGCAAAGGGGGCATTTAAGCAGAGCGAGGTCTTGCTCAACCGAGCTCAAAGTCAGCATACTCCCACATTGCCCAAGCCTAGGACCCAGACTGACGGTTTGCATAGATATCTGCCGGACATCGGAGGACCTTTCACCTGAAGACAAGGCCGCAGAGCTGCTGCCAATCGCAGTGCAGCAACTTTATGTCCTGATCCAACTCGGAAAGTTGGAAGAGGCCGAGGCGGTTCTCAAAGATATCTCCGTGGAAAAGTACATTGAATCATACCAGCCCGAAAATTATTACTTACATATTTTCCTAGCATCACCGAGTTATCAACCAAGAAAATTGCCCGCAATAACATTGTCCTCGCTCGTCCGACTGCCGTCAATCCCTACATCCTATACAAGGCCCTCCACGACACCCCAGATGCCACCAATAACGATCGGCTATTTGAATTCCAGGACCGTGATCTGATCGGCAACTCGCACGCTGCAGACCTCCTTGTCCAAAAATACGATGGCATAATCCGGTCCACAACCAAGGCACAATCAAAATGCCCAAGCCCATCCACTGACGCCATCCCCAACCTTCTCTCTGTATACAACGCCGCAGCGCACGCTCAAGGCGAAACCGGCCCTAAAGCCCTTCACAAGATCGTCCCATTGCTGGAGCGACGGCCCACAGACCTTGGTCTTCTTCTGACAGTGGTACAGCTCTATGTCAGCAGCGGCAACACAACCTCTGCTATCACAGCCATGGAGCGAAGCCTCCACAGCCTGGAGGGGACAAACGAGTCCGTCCGGTTCAACCCAGGCCTCCTCAGCGTCCTCGTCTCCCTGTACCAGCTTGAAGGTCGCACAGTTCAGATCCGCACCACCCTCGCACAAGCAGCCTCCTACTGGCGCACGAAGCCCGAGCCCCCCGCGTCCCTCCTCCGCGCAGCTGCCGCCTCCCTCTTGCACTCTGAAGAACGCACCGACCTCGCCACAGCGGGTGATATATTCCGTGCTCTGCACCAACAAGACCCCAATGATCGCGTCGCTATCGCCGGCTACGTCGCCTCACAAGCAACCTTGGACTATGCGCAGATTGAGTCCGAACTGGACCGCCTGCCAACAGTCAGCGACCTGATTGCCGATATCGACGTTTCAGCTCTGGAATCCGCTGGAATCTCTCCCTCCGCCTCCTCGGTTGCCGCTGCCGCTGCCGCCTTCGCTGGTGCCCGTAAGCGCACGGCAGCTAGTGCTGACGACCGCGCCAACAAGCGCGTCCGCAAGTCCCGTCTGCCCAAGGACTTCGATCCTGCCAAGAAGCCAGACCCTGAGCGCTGGCTGCCTGTGCGTGATCGCTCTTCTTACAGGCCCAAGGGCAAGAAGGGTAAGCAGCGTGCTGCGGCACTCACGCAGGGTGGTCCCGTCAATGAGAAGGCAGAAGAGTCTCCCACTCAGCAGCTGCAAAAGCCCGCCAGTGGCGGTGGCGCTTCCAATGCTAAGAAGAATAAGAAGAAGGGCAAGCGATAGTGTAATTTCAAGCAGATAGAGATCATAGCTGAATCCTACCTACGATACATAGAACACAGGTATGTATCTCATATTTCATATTGAAGGGCGCATCAAACCGCGACGGGCAGTAAAATAAATTTCATCAGCTGTCTTTAATTCTGAAGAATGCGGATGTAAACAACCCCCGTAGGTATTAGGAACTCATGTGACTGCCACTTTGACCTTGATCACAGGTGGACATATCGTTGTGAGCAGGGACCCGCCTCAGGTCTAAGCGGTTGGGAAATGCTATTCCGTAGTTAAGTTACATATAGTAATTTACACAGCGAAAAGTGCTAGCCAAGAAGCTCCTTAGACAAAAGAGTACAGGTGTGCAACGAGTAAAAAGGTGGACTTTTTGGGTGTGCAAACAATATTTGTCTAGATATAAGGGCCGGTCAGCTCCTCCTTGCGAAAACCCCGGACGAATACCCCCTTCTTTCACCTAATTTCATCCCGGCTGTTGAAATACTAACGCTCAACCCAAAGGGGTCCGAATGGTACCACACTGTCGGTTGTAGTGGTCAAAGATCATAAGCAGCAGCCGCATATCCATGACAGCGTCCTCAGCAGTCGTCTTCGCCACCGATTCCGCGCCAACCAGATAGGAATGCAGAGCCATGAATTCACGTTCATACGCCTCATTACAGGTACTGACCACCTCTGTCCGCTTCACGCGAGGACGAGGAACGGCATTCTCAGTCTCGTTAATCTGATTGTCATTGACATCATCCGTCTCCGCCGTCCCATCCGCTTCCTCAACAACAACTCGAACATAGGTACCAGTACTGATCTTCTCACCAGGGCGGGGGAAGTCATACTCCATACTGAGAGTCTTGTGCGCGCCGTAGACCGTCAAATGCGCATCACAGCGGGGCAAGGCATCAACCCCAGCCTCCCAGAGAAGCGTAAACGGGTGGCCGTGATTCTCAGCGGAATTCGTATAGTGAAAAATGGCAGAGTAGAATGGGTCCGTGATGGCGACGTTAGAAACGGCATCCGGGAAGCCCAATGACTCTCGCATCACCGATAGATCATGACAACCCAGCATACCGAGGTACCGACAGAAAGCAATCCTCTCCTGAGTGAGGTCTTCTTCAGACCCGAAGACGTCTTGCAGTAGCGCGCGGAACTGTTCTGGGTTATTGTGTCTCTTCATTTGCGTGATGTCTTTCGAAGCCGGCGCAGCGATGCTGTTCATTGGTCCAGCGATGTGTCGGCAGCGCGCGTAGTACACGCGACCTAGGGTGGCGAGTTCTTTCTTGAAGACTTCCGTGAAACAGGGCGCATAACGACGC